TATAAATTAATATTATGATGACTTCTACGAATGCAAAAATAATTACAGTCTCATTGTATTTTAACTAAGTATGAACAATATACAATAGTAATGGTTTTTAATACAAGAGTGGCAGCTCACAGTAGATTATTTTATAATTATTTTTTGCCTATATTATTAAAACAACAGATTTTCATTCCGACGATAAAGTTTTCTTTAAGCATGAAACAGACTGAATTAACACGCACGAATTAACAATAAAAACATGTCATAATTAAACGTGCGTTTCAAGTGTTTCCTTTTTCGCAAACAACATAAATATTAGGACACTTGAAATACTTCAACACCAAACGAGAAAACATTCTTTTTGAAGTTATACTTCTTTAGGCGCGTTATGAAAAATTGATGAGAGTGAAATTTTACGATGCGCGCGCACCGTGACACAAAATTAACAGAATGAAGCTACCCACTAAATCGCTCATTACAATACGACCGACGTAACTTGGCGAGTCTGAATATAGCCGCAGGTGAACTTTCCGTACCGTACCGAGAACTACCGAATTTATACGATGTCAAGAAAAGGGATGTCCAATATGCGTGTTTGAGGATGTTGTTAAAATTTTAATAAAAAAAAAGAAATAAATTTAATAAAAAAAAGTATAACTTCTTACGCGCGTACATAAGAACACGCACCCTTTTTTTCTAGTCGATTATGAGCTCCACCTGTGTTGGTATTTCTTGTTCGATTACCAATAAATCATCGCAGGATTCACTGATAGCTTATAAACAAATATAATGCAAATTTTGTGTCTAAAGTTTTTAATTCTTTTCGCTCGCTACATATGCCTCTGAGCATAGAATCTATCTGGTAATAAGTGACTATCGAGGCCGATAAAAATCAATGTGAATGCTGCCATCTTAAGAGACATCTTTGTATATTGTTTTATAAACAATATACGAGTTTTTTTTTGTTTTTTTTTCTTTATAGAAAAACACATTATTGTATACATAATACAAAGCAATCGCTACAATGGCACACTTATGATGCAACAAATTTTTTATATATTATTTAATTACACATAATTCACAATTCCGCATATTATGCACTAACGGAAACATACGTTAGTACTCTATTCATGTGACAATACAATTTGCATAATTAAAACACAATAACATATTTTAATAGATATTTAAATAATAACATTCTTAAGTAACTTAAATTCCTTTATAAGCCAGCGTTCTGTTTTTAAAATACTAACATCATGTAGTAATGGTAATAAAACAATTAATATTGATGCAAATTATATTCTTAAATAAATGAAATTCATTCACTCAATTTAAATTACGTCAGGAATAAAACTGTTTGGATACACGACGTAGAATAAGCAAATAATTTTATTCAGGAAATAATACATTAACTGCAAACCGAAACACAATGAACAATGACACCATGACCTTTTGTACGTAGTTTAGTAAAATTCATTTTGGAATCTTCTCAATTATATACTTAATAACAGTGAAAATTTCACTTGTGAACACACATATCTACTGTGGTTGTTGGCTTTCAGTCAACTCTAAAAACGTGCGCCCTGAATTGACGTACGCTTTCGCTCGTCTATATCGTCTTCTTTTTTTTATTGCCCTTGTAGGCAGACGAACGAGCACATAGCCCACCTGATGGTGAGTGAGGTTCAAATACCCCACCCGCCGCACGGATGAAGATCCGGCGATTTCTATGGAAAAAAAAAGAAAAAAAGGAACTTGTTATATGAATATCACATGAGTCTTTTTTGTTTACATTAATAAGCATTGGAGTTCGTCCTGTGCTCCACGGTTGCTGCAGTACAGTCACAATGTGCGATCACTCATTTGAGATCTCAGCCGCAACAGCAGCTATCGACCGAGCTGAACCACGGACTAGGCCAAACCATCATCACCATCATACCTTTTTTGTAAATGTTCATTTGTAAATCAATTTGATGTTTCTTCACAAATTCAGTGATAACCTTAAGAGTAATTAAAAGTAAAATTGTAATATTATGGAAAGATGGTGACCGAGATAGGATTACTCAAGTGACAGGTAACGAGGTCGCTAACACATTTGAATAAGCTACATATTTCAGTGTAAGCACTTGTATAGAACAACGTTCCTAATCCACAGTATAAATTTGCTAAGCTGCGAAAATAAATATATATATCAAGATATAATTACTTATTTTCCAAGAACTCTTTGTCGGCATCTATAAAAAGGTGTAAACGTTTAGATCAGGTACCATACAAATCCGCAGGTCTGTACTCTTTGACTACTACAGCCTGTTTGTTACGAAAAATTATTCATTTCAATTTATGTTATTTATTTTGGAGGGAAACATAAAAAACTCACGGTATTAGTACCAAATCGTGATATAGTCTGTAAGCTTGGCCTGAACTGAAAACAGTGTGTTGTCCAGCTTGTACTTGGAGCCGGAGTGGAATGAGAGTATAAAATAAATTATTAGTTTTTCCTCAATCTACAGAAGAATATGTACGTCAGCATAGCCAAACATAAACGATGTAAAGGACAAATTTCTTTTAAATACTTGTAATGAATAACGTATTTATTTGGATAATAATTAATATTATCTTTATAAAAACACCTTCACAAATAATGCTTTATTTTAAAACAAATTTGGTTTTTAGATTGAGATTGTGATTTGAGATTGAGATTGATTTTAAAATTAGAAAAAAAAGGTTATAGTGAGCCAACCTTTAAATAAAGACAATTAGACTTTTTTTAGAACTTTTTAGACCCTTTAGCGAAACTTTAACCGTTTCCACAGCGCACGCACCGGAAGCTCTCAAAAGGGAAAAGAACTGATTTGAAACATGCTTTATTAGTGCTCCGCTCTTACTAGTCTTAGCGTGTTGTTATATAGCCTATACTGTAGGCCCTATAGTCTTTCTCAATAAATACGCTATCTAACACTGAAAGAATTTTTCAAGTCGGCCAATGGTACTTCATCAGGTTAGCGTGTTCAACCAAACGAAAAACTTTTCAGCTTTATAATATTAGTATAGATTATATAATCAGTATTATATAGTCTAATTAGTATTATTTAAAAATAAATAAACGCATCAGCAATACCAGAGGCACAGCAAAAACATTTCCTGCCTGTCAGAGACCCGACATCCCACATTTTACCCAATACAAATGAAATAATAAACGCCAGAATGAAGAAAACTATGTAATACAATTTTAGGCAAAACTTTACTGTGGATGAAAAACTATACAAATAATTGAACAAAAAAATGACAATCGATCGGGTAATTGTTAGTAATATAATTAGAAGTTTAATTAATTAACAACTGCAATAAAAAATTGCTATAAACATCAAATATTGCCTGCAAATGTAAAAATTCAAGAGTGTCACATTGCAATAGTAACAATTAGAGTTATGTAAAGAGAACTTTGAATAGCGCCAACAAAGTATATTTTTTATCTTGGACATAATATAACGCTGCCGTCATCTATTGGTTTACTCAAGTTTAATACTACACAACAGTCAGGAATCAACTTACAATACGAATTGCAAAATGGCTGAAAATGACAATGCAATAAATAAAAATCCCAAAGGCGAAGAAAATTAAGACAAACGTAAGCGTAATTAAAATAATATGCACGGCACTGACTTGCCTTGCAATAAATTATATTGTAAATCGGATGGATTATTTAGTTAAAAATCGTTATTCCTACATAAGGCAAACCAAACTAACGGAAAATGAATGTGCTTGCTTGCATTACTCCATAAAAGTTTATTAAAAACCCTCTAGTGGCTTCTACCCTACAAGTTAAAACGTTATAGGTTCCTTCTAAGGCTACAGATGCTTTAAAGTAAAATCAGAGTAAATTATTATAGTAATTCATAGTCTTATGAAAGGCTACCAATATTAATTCACTGCTGGCTTCCCGTTTAATTATTCGGCAGTACTCACTGCCCTCCTGTTTTTGTTTTGTTCATTACAACGTGAATGCGGCCATCTTGAGAAATACATTTAAGTCTCAATTATATTGTATGACAGCTCATCCAAGAGGCATAAATAAACAGATAGCGGTTCCTATTCAACAAGCTCACGATGGGCCCTACCTACTTATAAGCCATAACACAGGCTTGTTCTCAGACTCGTCACATCTATGGTTGAATAATTGTAGATTTCCATACCACAGAGTCCAAATTTTTTTTTTTTTATTGCTTAGATGTGTGGACGAGCTCACAGCCCACCTGATGTTAAGTGGTTACTGGAGCCCATAGACATCCACAACGTAAATGCGCCACCCACCTTAAATAAGCGAGAGAAAAGCAATTTACTTCCAATAAGGTTCATTATGGATTGTTTGTCTTGGAGATTGGTAAATTATTACAATTGTATTGCTTTTCTCCCTATTAGACACCGAAACAAACAAAGCGATAAATTTTTGTTTACAGGTTACATTTGAATAAATTTTAATGTATTTTATCCGAATCTAAGCTGTAATTGGATCGTATCCGTTCGTAGCCTTCGTGGAATTTTGTATGTTAATACAAAAAATTGAACGCGCACATAACAATACTCATGTGCACAAACAAATTCCCCGGTTTAATTTCTCTAAATAAACGCATTAGTTAAGTTTGCTAGCTAGCGTGGCTGTTCAAACTTCTGATGCAACTAAGCAGTATGAAACCTATGATAATCAGATAATATCTTGAATTGAACAAACCTTTTCATCTCAATACTTGAAACTCACTTCCACACACACAGGCATGCGCCTGCCAATATAATTAGCTTTTTGTTAACCATAAACAAACAAAATGTTGCAAACATTATTATTGTCATATATCGCGTTAGTAAAACTGATAGATTATTATATAAAAGTGTAGCTATAAAAACTAATTTTATTTGTTGAGTTTTGAAGAAAAAATAATAAACTATTATTGTCAACTTCAACAAAAGCATAAATTATGAAATAATGTATTCGATTTTATCTTTTCAGTTCACGTGTTCAAAATCCATGACGCCGAATGAAAATTCTGGAATTAAATAAGGAATCTGCAGCAAACTGTATGAAAAGAGTCTTAACAAGAGAAAATGAACTCAGAAACATTAAACGACACCGCAAATGCTTCGAGGCCTGTAGACTCTACTCGTGTTTTTGGCCCTCAAAGAGATACACTATATATAGTACTGCCTATTACTATTATCTATACATTTATATTTGTATCAGGGTTATTGGGTAACATATTCACGTGTATCGTAATTGTACGCAATAAAAATTTGCATACTGCCACCAATTATTACTTGTTCAGTTTGGCGATTTCGGATCTCTTACTATTAGTGAGTGGAATGCCACAAGAAATGTATTCTATATGGTCCAAGTGGCCATATGTCTTTGGGCACACATTCTGCGTCATCAGAGGCCTGGCTGCTGAAACTTCGACTAACGCTAGCGTCTTAACGATAACATTGTTCACGATCGAGAGGTACCTAGCTATATGCCATCCATTTGTTTCACATAAGATGTCAAAACTTTCCCGGGCAGTGAAACATGTAGTTTTATTGTGGGTCGCAGCCCTTGCGCTAGCATTACCGCAGGCTCTTCAATTCGGAATACGCCAATACCAGGGTGTGATCATGTGTCTACAAACCCGTGTTATAATTGAACACTCGTTCGAAATCTCGACATTTGTCTTTTTCTTAGCGCCAATGGTTTTAATCACGGTGCTATATTCATTTATTGGACTAAAACTCAGAGAGAAAAGTAATATGAAAGAACAAAATCAGAATGATTTTGAATCAAGTATTAGATATAGTCACAAGATGTGTCGGAAGCCAAGCCAATCAACGCGGAGAGTCATCAAAATGTTGGGTAGGTTGTTATGTACATTCATATAAAAGATGGTTTTACTATGGATGGCTCAAAGTAATACCTTAAAAATAATATATTTAGGTAAGATATGCAGTGATATAATATTAAAAAGCAGTTTACAATATGCAGTTTAAATAAATGAAAACTTGGTTTTTTTATTACCGTCCACCAACATGAAGTTTTTGTTTTAGAAAGTACATACCGCCCTTCCATTTTGAGATTTGAGATAGTAATATCAGTGAGATTTCATATGACAGTTAGGATAGCCTTTCCTACCTCTTACCTAGGATATCTTTTCCTTTTCAAAAAACGAATTGTCATATGTAAATATAATTTCATTGTGTTTATTGCGCAGTGGCAGTGGTCGTCGCTTTTTTCATCTGTTGGGCTCCTTTCCACGCGCAACGTCTTGTCGCTATCTACGGCACCAACGAAAATCACCTCGCAAAATCCCCGATTCTGTTCTCAGTATACTTGTTCTTGACTTACATCTCCGGAATCTTCTACTACATGTCGACGTGCATCAATCCTATCTTGTACCACATCATGTCGAACAAATTCAGAGATGCTTTCAAGGTAGTACATTTTTAATGGTTAAATAATTCAGCATTACGTAGAAGTATTATGATTATAACAGTAACATTGACCAGCATTTTAGTAAATATCAAAATAATGTTGTGTTTGAATACAATACTACTATTTGTAACACTGACAAACTTATAAAAATCTGATATTAATAGAAAATATTTGCTCATAAATTTATGGAATTCCATAGCCGGTATGGCTAACCATAAATGTGTAATTTCATCATCACTTCATCTTTGTTTGCCACAGTATTTTAGTTCATAGACTTCTAACCCTATATGCATTAAATTTGAAAAATCCCTAGTAGTCTGTACACGCTTTTAATTAGTAGTAATTTATTATTTTTAATTTTTACTTCACTTCTCACTTGCACTTCTCTACGCGCACTTACCCAGTTTTATTGTTTTTAAGCCAAAGAATGTTTTGTAAAGCGCTTATGTTTATATTGTTGTTTATTAAATAAAAATTTGAGAACATTTCACCAGATTATACTGGCACTGTTTCATTTTCAAGGCATTTGATTCGAAATTGAAATTTAGTCCCTCATCTGAAAGTACACGGTCTGTCACAATTCAATGCCGAATAAGTAGATTGCAGATCCGTATATCGCAAAACATGCCCCATTGTAAACTAAACACTTAATCAACTAAGTATAAGTTAGTAAAATTAGCAGACGATTGTTTTCAGATGACCCTGTGCTGCTGCGGGACGCGCAATGATACCGCCGTCAAGCGCTCTTCGTACACGGCCATGGCATTCGTGCGGAATCCGACGTCCAGCGGCACTTCCAATTCAGGTATATCTATATACTAATATATAAATCTACAGTGGTTTTTACGGATGTTCCGTTATAGCTACTGAACCATGCATCCGATTGACTTGAAACTTGGTATCCATGTACAAAATACATGTACTTAATGGATTGGCTAATATTTATATGAGTGTTGGACTCCCTACACCAGTTGCGGGGGCGTTAATGATGAGAATCTTTGTGGGGGTGAGAAATAATAGTGTTAATTTTAAATGCCCAGCGAAGCGGACGGGTACAGATAGTAAATAGTACTCTAATAGAAACAGGTTTTTACTTATGAAGTTGTTGTTTTACAATACTGGCCATCTACAATACTGGCAACAAATTAAAATTCAATTCAATTTTATTAAAAAAATATGGAATTCTATTTTCAAATTCAATCATTTGTTTATTGATTGGTGAATGCCGCACAAATGGCTCAACATTATGTACGGAGTAAAAACTACAAACAACCGCACGGGTCTTTATTGGTTTTAAAGCTTCCGACATGAAAATTTTGATCCAAAAAAATGAACGCGGTGGTCGTCTGAAAACCAAAATCAACAAGAACGAATTAAAAGCGATAATGGATGCTGACCATAATCAATCTACCGCTGAGTTAGCAGCAGCTTTCAACGTTAGCATTAAAACAATATTTATAACAAAAACAATCAAATAATATAAATTTAAATCGAATTGGCAAGGTAAAAAACTTTATAAGTAGGTGCCGCACGAACAGAAAAATCGCGAGTGCGACGAATTAGTTAAGATATGCCTTACCTCACTTAAAAGAAACAGAAACGAGGAAATTTCGGACCGCATTGTCACCTGTAACGAAAAATAGATTTTTTTTTATTATCGCAAGCGGTCATCATGTTGGTTAGACCCTGGTTCAGCACCTAGGTAATTCCTCAAACTAAAGCTTACTCCTAAAAAGTCACGGTCACTGTTTGACGGTCTAGTGCCGTTATAAGACATCACAGCTTCTTACCAAAATGCCACCAGCATTATTGCGGATGTGTGTGAGGAGTTGTACACAATGATGGTGAATCTTCGGCTAGTTTTGGTTAATCGCTCGTCCCAGCTGCTCTTACATGACAACGGTTCACCTCATACGGCACAACTGACGGCCTCTAAGCCACAAGAGGTAGAGTTTGAAGCTTTGTACATATGATCCACAATACAATACAACAATTGGAGAGTTTGTTACCTGACTTATTTAAAGTGTGGTTTGAAAAATTACCACTGCGCTCGCAGACATGCATCACTATCATGAATCCATATTTGATTTAATAGAAGAGAAATAAAATTGTTAAAAATTCGTTTCACTTTCTTTCTACACGGCAATTTTGTAAGTAAAGACCTAATAAATAACTTACAATAATAACGTTACGTACACTAGTCTTGCAAATAGTTTTGGTTGCATATTTTTCTCCGAGTATCTGTCGTGTCGGACTAGCATGACGTGCAATGCAATTCTTAACAATCAATGTAACGACTTCAATATTTATAGAGAATATGATTAAATTAATAAAGATAATCATACATTATCTAACTAATTCGATTTGTAAAATTGTTTGTCAATGTTTTTTGTCATCAAAATCAGACGAGTGTATGATACTTTCCCCACTTCATACTTTGAGTACTTAAGTAAAACGCGGCAAAATATATTTCACTATACAAAATATGGTGCTTACGCTCTTCCGCTTCATAGGCATTTTACTTTTCCAATTGTACGTTTGAATAGTAATTGGTTCTAATTTATTATACATATCGATGCGTTCATTTTGAAATTTCTATGTGGTATATACCTAAATATTATTGTTTACGCTCTAAAGCAATTTTTGGAATGAAACAGATCTGACTTCATGATTCTGAAATCAGAATTTTCACCAAAATAAATTCTAAAATTTCTTTTGAATCAATCAATACTTACTACTGAGATTTTTTCAGGCAACTCGATCAGAAACGAGACTAACCTTCAATCCAAGACAAGAAGAACCAACAGTAGAGATAAAATCCTCAATGGCGCTCACGTGTGCGGTAATGGAACCCTGTCAAGCACGACCGTCGCCAAACCAGACAGCCGAACCAACGGAGATCGCCTCTTAGATAGAAACCTCATCAATGAAACATACTTCAACACGAACTGTTAACCGACATCAGAAATTTTTTTCACGAAAGCTACTCAGAGGGCAATCAATTTTAATAATAACCACAAATAGCAAACAGAATATCCTTTAATGAGTATGTTTTACGTATTTTACAATTAGTTAGTATGATAAATTCAAATACATTCCGTTTTAGTAAGTAATTAAATAAGTGTACGATAAATAAATTGAACTTATTGATTTTTGAATGAATAAAAACGATTAGTGGAGGAAAAGTGGATCGTCCTAGCTTTGACATAAGAACCTCTTTGTGGCGTAAGTACTATAGTGTATGTGTAAGTACTATATGTAGGCTTGCTATTAGTACATTGGGTTACTGTATTTGAACCAAACATCGATTTTATATTACAGGGTATAACAAAAAATGTCCGATTCGTATGACTATTATGTTAGACAGGTATTGTGAGACAAATATGGTTCAATTTTAATTCATTGAAGAAGTGATTGTGGTAATAGATTGCATAGGCGCTACCTTCAACGATTTAATAAAATTGTATGTATCATCATCCATTTTTATCTTATTGTTTTTGTATATCATGAGATAATTACTAAAATGTGCAGACTAACTTTCAATTTAAAAATGAATTTATGTTAATTTACAATTGTGGCGTAGAAAAATGATTAACTCATTGTTTGTTCTGAATTAAATAATGTCAATTGTATGTATGTATGTGTTGTGTGTATTGTAAAGTATATATTACAGTAAAAAACTATTTGTAACTTGAGTTTCCTCGCATTTTTTGTGTTTAAATTGAAGCTTTGTTCAGGGTATGTTAAAACTTCAAGGAAGGTCATATTACGATTTTTGACGCGCAAGTCAACAAATATATATAACTAGTCAGGTCATAAGTATTGTCACACAGTAAAAACTTTTCTTTTAGAATGCTGGCCACAAAAAAGTTTATTGAATTCGAATTTCGAATTGTTCATGAAAATAAAAATGTATACTTTTAGAATTTTACACATTTTTAAATATGGAGTGGACGCTTAAAGAAGACCGTGTTGCAGTTATTGCGTTGCATCGTTGCGGTTACGCGCCAATTCAAATTTTTAACATACTGAAAATTTTGAATATAACCAAAAGATTCGTTTATCGTACCATCAAACGATACAATGAAGACTCTAGTGTAGATGACAGGTCAAGAAGTGGTCGCCCTCGGTCTGTTAGGACTCCAGCAGTGATAAAAGCTGTGAAGGCGCGAATTCAAAGAAATCCCAAACGTAAGCAGAAACTGTTGGCCCTTCAGATGGGGTTAAGCAGAACCACGGTGAAAAGGGTGTTAAATGAAGACTTAGGGCTTCGGGCATATCGAAGAAAAACAGGACATCGTTTGAATGCTCGTCTAATGGACCTGAGACTGAAGAGATGCCGCGCTTTGTTGAAGCGGTACGCGGGAAAAAAATATCGGAAAATTCTTTTTTCGGATGAAAAAATTTTTACCGTAGAAGAGAGCTACAACAAACAAAATGATAAGGTGTACCCACACAGTAGTGAAGAAGCGAGCAACCGTATTTTGCGTGTCCAACGAGGTCATTTTCCATCCTCGCTCATGGTATGGTTGGGAGTTTCTTATTGGGGTTTAACAGAGGTACATTTTTGTGAGAAAGGTGTAAAAACGAATGCAGTTGTGTATCAAAATACAGTCCTGACGAACCTTGTGGAACCTGTTTCTCATACCATGTTCAATAACAGGCACTGGGTATTCCAAGAAGATTTGGCGCCAGCTCATAGAGCGAAGAGCACACAAGACTGGCTGGCGGCGCGTGAAATCGACTTCATCCGGCACGAAGACTGGCCCTCCTCCAGTCCAGATTTGAATCCGTTAGATTACAAGATATGGCAACACTTGGAGGAAAAGGCGTGCTCAAAGCCTCATCCCAATTTGGAGTCACTCAAGACATCCTTGTATAAGGAAATATAGGCAGCTCTAAACGGTCCTGTTAACGAGTGCACAAGAAGGGCCGCGGTACGCGAGGAATGGCGACGTCTGGTGAAGCGCACCACCAACCCAAGTGATGACCACGACCACTCTGCCAAGAGTGCATACGACTGAGAAGAAGAAGACATCCTTGATTAAGGCAACCGCCGATATTGACATGGACCTCGTTCGTGCTGCGATAGACGACTGGCCGCGCAGATTGGAGGCCTGTATTCAAAATCACGGAGGTCATTTTGAATAAGCTTTAGTGTCATAAGAATCTATGTTTTGTTAAGTTCATTTTGGTATATGAATGGTAACGTAACGAATAAACTTGTTTCAATTATTTTACATTAAACATGTGACAGAATTTATGACCTGACTAGGTATATATATATTTTAGATAGTCACAAGTAAAGCGTTAGGTACCAAAAAATTTAGAAAAAATTAAGTCTCATTATAATTTTTAAACAGTAATGTAATAATATCCAATAAACAAATGTCGGTTGCAAAGTTTCCAACCATTCAATTTAAGCATATATGCTTAAATTAATTTTAAATTAATGTAATTTTAAATTTATATTTACGCCAATACAAATATTGTCCTGAAACATCCCATTTATTTATATAAAGTACAAATTTTTGTTCAATGCGAATAGAAAATTAAATTGAGAATCGAAGTCTGTGTGTATAACGATGTCGCGCGTAATACGCATATAATACGTAAAAATTATATCGTCCTTTAATAGGAATATTTACCTTCATAAAAGTCTTTTACTGGTGGTAGGACCTTTTGTGAGTCCACGCGGGTGGGTACCACCACCCTGCCTCTTTCTGCCGTGAAGCAGTAATGCGTTTCGGTTTGGCAGCCGTTGTAACTATACTTGAGACCTTAGAACTTATATCTCAAGGTGGGTGGCGCATTTGCGTGATGTCTATGGGCTCCAGTTACACTTAACACCAGGTGGGCTGTGAGCTCGTCCACCCATCTAAGCAATAAAAAAAAGTTCAATTATTAGTAGGTATGGTAAATGAATTGTGTGATAAAGTTATTATTACAAGGACAATATCGTTTCTTTTATATTTACATAAAACATTTATTACTTAAGGGTGTGTTAGTTCATACATTAATTCAAAGACATAGCATTTAAAATATCTGAAGAACATTCAAAATGATCTCATGTTACCTTAATATAATCCTTCAAACGATACTACAGGAAAAATGTTTTGGAACACCAAATTTTCATGGCATTTAGAGCATCACCTACTAACTGTAAGAGGCAATAAAGCAGAATCAAGCGGTTCCATAATAAGGAAGTCAGTGAGTGTTACGTTCCAGCCACGCTTATATAAATCTACCTTTGTCACTCGGTGCTGAATCTTGGTTAAAAAACCATTGTTGTGGAATATACATATAATTATTTTGTTAAGAAACTTAACCATGTTTCCAAGAATTGTCTTCTGGATACATTTGGGCTTACCTGTCCTATTCCACAAAAGTATGTTAAGCTCACTCCTTCAAAGCAACGACCCCAGCAAAGAATTACTATAGCCGGATAGTTAGCTCGCTGTACCCTTCTAAATGATTGCAAATTTTCTGTAGAGCTTGGTCATTCTGGTTAAATGATTTTTCTGCGACCCCCTTTGGCGCAGTGCCTAAGAAGTTGTTTCATTCCAACACCCCTTAATTTCAAATTTTCGGGTAATTGCCAGTGCATACTCAAGATACAAGACCTAAGATTTTCATTCGTCCTACTGGATATCTTTTTCTTATGATCAGAATATATTTTTTATTAATTTCTTCATCGCTTTAATCGCCTAGAACGGTTATCAGTTTCTGCTGCAATCCGAGAGCGCTTCATAATACCTATCTTCTTCTTCTTCTTCTTCGTCGCTTTCTTCATTGCTGAAGGTCGTGTCCCTGAAACTTGACCGTTGCCTGTCTCGTGAGCTGTTTCCATCTCGTCCGGTCCTCAGCTGCTCGAATGGCGGTTGCGACTGGCAACCTATCAATTGGTGCATAAACATTCTATGATCGTACATTTTTATTTTTACTCTATGCCTAATCTGTGTTAAGCTATCATACAACTTGGTTCCCAGTGTTACCCCATTTTAAATTTAATATCATTAGAATATTTAACGAATATTAACGTAACAATGAGAAGGCACTATGACTATTCATAGTAATATGATAATGACGGATTCCAACTTAAAATGTTATTTTATTTTGAAACAATATGACCATACTTGTTGGATATTTAACGGTTTTTTTTTATGATTTTTATGTGCGGGTAGATTGTCCCTGCATAGAAAACAACATGCAGTGCTGAAAAGGTTCGGGACTCTTACATTTTGCAACTCGGTAACATGCGGAGCTTGCTTGTGTCGTGTAGAATCGGTATGAAATTTGTAAGACTGTTCTATTTTATTGTTTGATTTGTCCCTTCAGTTTAGTTTAGCGATAAATTATTAGGAAATTGTACTTAAAATAGAGGACCTAAGTGTAAATAAAGCTCATTATCAAAGATTTTTAGTTATTATCCGGTTCGGGCATAATTGTTTTTTTTATAAGTATTATGTGAAAACGTATTATTATACCATGTTCAACCAGGTTGTAAGTTACAACCTTACCTTATGCGTTTAAAACATAATTATGCTCATACACATGTACAGTTGTTCTTCTTAAAACGTTCACTTATCGTTAAAATAAATAAATTGATTGAAAATATTTATTTATGTATGATTGATACGTTCATGTATATAAAGATAAAATAGGGTAATTAGCACACAATGTCCTCAAGCTAGAATTGCCTACCCCATTTTTACCAACGGATTGTATGGCCCAGTGGTCAACCCAACTTCAGCATGGATGGGCGAACTCAAGGTGACACGCAGACACTTTTTTTTTGGGCAGGGGGTCGAACCTCATGCAAGGTAACCGCGCCTCGCAGACCCGCGGGGTATGTAGGACTTGAAGGTCTGCAGATTTTGAAAGCAAACCACGAGCCCAAAGATATTTTTAGGACCCTACCCACCAAACGACTCTCCTTGCACTCTCTCACCCGACGACCCATCTGCGCCCGGAGTTAGCACCTGGGCAGAGTAGAATATTCTTTTTTTACATTTGACGTTGAATACGTATTGGATAATTGTATTATTCTGATTACAGTTTGCACGAAATTCCTGCTTCCAGAGCACAAAAGGTCTTTAATGAATAGGCAACCGGTCAACAATAATAATATTATCTGAATAGTGGTCTTCAGAGATTTTAATTATGCTAAAACGAACACTCACTCGATAATTTACTTTTGTAAAATTATGAGTTTTATACATACAACTGAATAAAATATTATAATTTAAGCATTTTTTCATGCCAAGCTAAACACAAATCACAGTGCATGGTATCGTATTACTATGTGGATAATTATTGGATGAATATACAAATATGTGTATGCGCCATAACTGTCGCACGTTTTGTAGTTATAGTCCAAGATCCCAGGGCCCCCAGACGTCACGTATTTTCTGACGAACAAAATATGGTCGATTGCGTAGTGTTAGT